AGACCTAACAGCGGCTCAAGCACCACACGTAGTGTACGCCGCTCGGAGACCTAACAGCGGCTCAAGCACCACACGAAGTGTACGCCGCTCAAAAAGCTAACAGCGGCTCAAGCACCACACATAGTGTATACCACTCGGAAACTTAACAGTGGCTAAAGCAACACACATAGTGGACGCCGCTCGGAGAGCTAACAGCGGCTCACGCACCACACAAGGATACGCCGCACGGAGAGCTAACAGTGGCTCAAGCAACACACAGTGTACGTCGCACGAAGAGCTAACAGCGGTTCAAGGACCGCACAGGGTGCTCTCTGCACGCTTGGAACAAAGCGTGCAGGGCAACGACCCAGGCATCGAGAGCCTTGGCGGCGATCTTATGCAACCCAGTGACGTCGGTGCCACGGAAGACGCACCGATGGCTGCCAGGCACACAGGAGGGTGGTACCGCGCACCGCTGGGAGGAGGCTGTCGACATCGGATGTGTTATTGCCCGGGCCGGTCAGCTCCACTGTGACCGGGTGATGCATAGGAGGGAGGATGAGATGGGATGGGATGTGATGGGGGGGGGGAGGGGGGGGGGGGGGTAACTAGAAAAGGTTTGCCTTGATAAGTGGTTTTGGCTACGTGGGCTGGTAACGACGCGACCTGAACACACTCAGCAACTCGTCGGTGACGAGAGATCAATAGGTTTTGTCGTACCAGAACCAAACAAACTTTCTTCCGCGTACTGGGTGATTGTTCAGGACACTATCCGGCATGTGTCTGATATGATTTGAGCTGATTTTGCGCGCACGCTGAGCCTGAAGCGGCATTGAACGGCTTTCAGCATATGATCTGCTGCCTTTGTATGGTCCTGCCCACCGGACGATGAGTCCCCTCGCTTAACTGGGCTGGTCCAGCTAATGGTCTGCGGAAAATTGTCCCCCAGCCCGTTGAACATTGATTCGACGACACACTCTGCCGGCAGCACAAGCCATACGAGTGTCACCGCCGTTCCGATCTCGACGTTCTGAGAGTTCGCCAGTCGTTCGGGATGATCGTCCGGCCTTGCTGTGCGAGTGTCCCGCCCGGTGATGGGATGTTGGAATGCTGTCATTTGCCGGCGAAGACGATAGCGGCGCGAAGGCGCTGTCGCCACGCAAGACGCGCCAAGCGCTACAACGTGAGCCGCGAAGCGACGACGATGTCTCCTCCCCCTCTGCGAACCAGCTGTTCAGATACGACGCCAGCCTGCCTGGTATCGACGGCGTGAAGCGACGAGCGTCGCCGGCCCACACAGCACCGCTTCGTCATTGGTGATAGCATGCGGACGTGGTGACGTCGACCCGTCGACGAGGTGACGTTCAGGGTTTCATCGGCGCGGTGATCGGGACGGAAACGGGCCCGGCCATCGCGCAGAAGAGACTGATCGCTGCGGATCTCTGCCGCATGTCGTAAACGGGGGGGGGGGGGGGGGGAAATCTGAACTTTTATGGCTAAATGTTTCAGTATGTGAAAGGTCAGCTAACGAGCCAAACAAAGAAGATAATAATAAACGACTACGGTTGCCTTCATAGGTGTAGGCTTTACGTGCTGGGCGCCTATTTTGCTCTACAATGTAATCATGCCAAGAGCTGCAGCCAACAAATACCTCGGTTGAATGCTCGTTTCCGAGCATTCGCGATAGCACGATCGCGAATTAAGGTTTGTCCGTCTGAACGTCTTAAAGTACCGATCATTAATAGACCGATATCAACAAGCAATAGCAAACTTGTCTCGTTTAGTGTCAACATAAAGTTGTGAACATGCGGAGCTTGTCTGACATTTCCGGGCGCATCAATCATGTGTGAAACACTTGGGTACCAGCACCACCATTGTCTGCCGGACCCTCCACCATGACCATAGTCATCTCCTAGTACCCATATACAGCATTCCTAGTGCTTTCAAAAATTGTGTTACGTTCATTACATCAAGACTGGGTGCGCTTATCCAATTTCCAATTCTGCTGCTAGCCCGCTAGCCGATGTTGTGGCGAGGGCCTTGCTTCATGAATCGAAGGCGCGAACCTTCGTCCATCACTCGAAGTCATCTGCGTCGCATGGATCTTGTCTCTATTTCTACTCTTCAGTTCCACCCAATTCAGTTTCATGTTCCGGTTCCCACGCTTCCGTGAATCCGGCTGACGCTCAACCAAATCAACAGTGTTCCGAGTCTTGCAGAATATGTTAATGAGCGCCCGGGTAGCCGGCTGAAGGCGCCGCGTTTGAGTGCGTGTGCGTGCATGCGTGCGTGTGTGCGTGTGTGTGTGCGTGTGTGTGTGTGTGCGTGTGTATGTGTGTGTGTGTGGGGGGGGGGGTAATTGGACCCATTTGATACCTCAAAAACTACGGGCGCTAGACATCAAATGCACAGGAAAGGTAGGCCTGTATAAAAATCAGTAGTGTGAAACTTTGAGGTCGCTAGGTCTCCATCTTTTAGCCAAATAAGGTCAAACAAGGTCAAACTCAGGATCGGCGTCTGAAGTGCCCTCAAACCTCCTCAAGCAATCACCCTTAAGCCTAGCTATCTCTTCTCAGCACAAGGTCATTGGTGTTCATTGCTGGTGAGTAGTCTTAGCTGACCTTGAATAGGCTACGGTGACCAAAAACCTACGGGACTATTTTGATTTGGCACGTGACAAAAGTTTTGCTTCAAAAGTTTATTTCTGTCATTTCTTCTGTTGCAAAAACCTGCGCACTCTTGTCGCACACGCAGCATTACTTTCACTGCCAATGCTTAACCGTGGAGTACAAGATGAGTGGACACTTAGCAGGGGTGTAGGAACAATTTACAGGTTAGGATGAAACCCCAACTAGGTAATGCTATAATTCAAAACCCGTGGTGTGGAAACAAAACAAATATTTGTCTTCATGCTGCGTTCTTTAATCCGTTTGTCGTGCTTGGTTCATGAGAAAAAGCCCTAGTTTTGGTCGCAGAATTAGAACGACGGGCATGACATGGAAGGAAGGCTTGGTTTAGACTTGGCATGCAGAACCAACGCCGCATTTGTCGTTGCAATAGAGGGATGTCGCGTTTTAGTGAACGCCACGTCAGGGACAAAGTCTCATATTCAGTCGGAGGCCCGATCTACCTCTTATCCATACTAAGCATGTATATCACATTCGGGGCATATGCCGTGTCTTATGTACTTTGGGGCAGGGTTGGCTGTTTTCCCTTGCTTAGTGTCTAGACATGTCTTACAACACAACCACACTGCGTTGCACGTTGCACATAATTTTCAGTAAAAAATGGCTGCGTAGAACTATGTTTGTCGTACTTCTGGCAATCGCAATATTTCCTTTAGCAACGATGTATCGACACCACGGAGTGAGCTATTCTAGTTCGATGTCGCCCATCCAAGTGCTCCGATGTGTTCAGGCCCTCCTGGATTTTGATCAGGCTTAAAGTACAAGTGGAAGTGCTAACGGACGTACTTTGCGAAGCATGACCTGTATTGTACATCACAAATGTCGCGCATGGTCGTCGGCAATAAAAGCGACACCGCTTATCAGTAAAGGTTCTATGGGTTTTTGCAGTGGACCTAATAACGATTATAAGCTTTGTAAGCGTGAAGATAACATCACGTTTTAAGCTAAATCGCGTGGTGCTAATGTCACATAAAGGCTGTTACGGTAGAGATAATGTCACCGGTAAGTGATGACCGGGGGTGTCACTTTCCTTCTGTAAGGCCCAACCCCTTCTCGTGCTGACTTGAGTGCCCTCCTACGCCCAATACCCCTCTGAGGCCCCTCAGTGCATATGCGCGAAAAGAGAACACTGGGCCAAAGAAATGCAGGAAATTTATATTAATCATAAGTGAGTACAGCAACAGAAAGTACCTGAGCACTTCATTATGAGAACCATATTATTTTTGTTTCAAATAGTGTCCTGTACCTACCAAATGTGTTTGTTATGCGACTCCTTCATATGGTGGGCCAGTCTGTAAACGTTTGACTAATTCTGCACGTGACAACAGCGAAATTGGGGTAACAAACATTTGACTGCAAGGTAAGGCAGCTTTCAAAGTACAGGGCTGCTCAGATAAAAGTTACCCCGTGTTTCCCTACGCGGTGGTGAGTGTATTTGTCGCGTAATCGTGACTATGGGGATATTAAACTGTCAGATAAGTGACTAAAAAAAAAACGGTATAAGCGACAGTGATAGGTCATCCGTGATTCTACCTGCGTCAAATCGTGTCAACTAATTTTGCCTCGGCCATGTAAATTAAAGTGGCCGAAATCATGGGTGAAATCAGGTTTGTGGGTAGGCTAGGTCAACCTTATCGGCTCAGCCCCCCCCCCCCCCCCCACCTCCACCACCACTAACCGATTTTTGGAAGTGATCGCCCTGGTAATGACTATAGGCTTGTGGGTAGGAATAATTACGGTTATAACTTTGTGAAATACCTATCAGCCTTGTCGTATACCACTAATGCCACGCATAACTTTTGGCGGGAGAAGAAACGTCGTGTATAAACAACGACTTTATAAGTTTTTGCAGCAGCAGTAATCACACGTAAAACCTTTGTCGTAGCACTCCTGTCGTTGCAGATTAAGCCGTAGCACTAATGTCATGACACCCTGCTTAGCTAAGCAATGATCAGAAAGCCGTCATCTCATAGTTCTATACCGCTGCATACCCAAGCAGCGCGTTAGGTTGGCCAGCGCTGTCCACGCTTATTGTACCTGTGCGTCACGGCACGCGCGGCTTCCCAATTCTCTCCACCCCTCCCTGGCCGTCCTCCGCTAGTGCTATCGGAGCCTGTCTCTGTCTGTCATGAGGTGTCCACTGTCTGCGCCGGACAGTGTCGGACGGTGCCGGCGCGTGGCGGGCCGTCGCCGCCGGCGGTGTCGGCGGGGCCCGGCGGCGGCGGCCGACGCCAGCCTGGGCCGGCCGCTCGGCAGCCGGCAGTGTCTCGGCGGCTGCCCACCAGGCGCCGGCGCCCGGCCCCCAGCGGCCACCGAGCTGCCCGTCCTCCGGCCATGGCGCCGCCGCCGCCGCTGGTCGCCGCGCTGTGCGTCGTCCTGCTGGGGCTGACGGCCGGCGCTGTGCGCAGCGCGCTGGCCGCCTGCTCGTCCCATGAGCTGGTCGCCTACAAACTGGACGTCGAAACGCACTGGTCCAAACGCCGCTTTCCCAAGCATTACCCGCTCTGGCGACCGCCGGCGCAGTTCTCCAAGTTCTTCGGTGAGTTGGGGGATATTGACTGTAAACACTTGTGCGACACATCTGTGTTATCAAAAGCCCAATCCGTGTCTTGTAATCCGTCATTTTTACTTCACCCGTCAGTGATCATCGCCGCACGCAAGCGATGAGTGAGAGGTGTGGTGTGAATAGATGAATGGGATGGTTATTGACCCCGGCAACGAGATAATGAACCTAAGACGCAATCGAAGTATCCTGGCGGTTCTACAGGGTAATCTGAGATGTTTGGTTGATTTGCAGCTCCAAGGGCTGCATCCCACAAGCGATTTCTGTCGGTATCACTTTTTGTCCTTCGTCAAGTCCATGTGATTTATTGAATTAACACCTCATCTAGTGCACGTTCAATGGTCGTTATCATGATACCTACAGCTCAGTCAATTAGGGTGCAAGATAACACATCTTAATGGTGCATCTCAGCTGCCATCACACTTCAAGTATACTGCACGAAGTGGGCACTGCAATCGAAATCCGTGTGTTGATCTGCAATCGTAATTGAAGGTCCTGCTTGCTTACATGCATATGCAATGTCCGTAGCTTTGCTTGCAACTTGGACAGGGATGAGTTATTGCTGTCGTCCCTCTTATAAGCATTCCGTTGGAGCCCGAGAGAAACACTTACGAATTCACGTTGCCCTGGCAGGGGTAAATCGTAAGATCTTATCAGTTGTCGGATGATGACGAATTACCAACGATGTTACGCTCTATGTAAACATTCCTGCCATGTTGCTCTCTGTTAACAAATAGGTACCTGCTTTCCATGAGTTAAGCTTACAAAGTAAACATCTTGACACTATGTAAAATACAGAGTTGGTCACAGCGCCAAGTCTTGCACACCAACAGGAGTGGCACAGCAGGGTGAGGGGGAGGCAACAGAGGAGGCAGGCTGTCTCTTCTCCGCCAGCATGCTGGGGATAAGAGTATATTTGTGCCCCAATTTTTTTCGAAAGGCCCTTCTCCCACACTCAATGCATTATACTTCCCGTAGAGAACCAAAATTCACATCAAGGAAACTCCATGACTAAGCTAAAAAGCATTAACTCGGGCTCAGAGGGCCCTTTGCTATGTCAAGAGACTCGTTGTCTGGATCCCCAGGTCATCTTTGATATGTCGAGAGACTCGTTGTCTGGATCCCCAGGTCATCTTTATGAATAAGGCAGCCGATGCTCCTCATCAGGGGGCCAATGTCCTGTTAAGGACGCTCCTCTGCTGTCTCGGAAGGCCTCCTTTAAGAACTAGGATGTCTCTGTCCTGGGCTAGGAGGCATCCTATGTATTCAGGACACCCATTCTGGGACGGGAGGCCCCTTTCAAACATCTGATGGCTGCGGTTCCGGAACAGGATGCTCTGTTTTGGAAAGCAAGGCCGCTTAGCTAGATTTGAGGCCCCCATGTTGCCTCGTTAATCGGGAGCATCTTGTTCTCAGCCTGCTCCCGATTAGGAGGCCCCTCTGTTCATCGGAAGGCCGTTTTTAGGACAGACAGGCCCTGTTCTAGGTTGATGAGACCTTTTGCTAGCCTATAAGAGGGCCGAAATATTGAATTTTTGAATGGTAGTCATTTTTTTTACTTAGATTTGATACATGTAGCAGTTTCGTAAGGGGCACATGTCCTTAGTGCCCTACGCCCGTTGACTACGAAATTGCCCAGCAGACCCCGTGTGAGGAAGCTCCATTCTGTGCAGGAGGTCTGTAAAAAAATATACCCTACGAACCTACAATCCGAGGCACTGCCCCTGCATGCCAGTGGAGCACAATTATTTGTGCAATTAAGTGTTGGTAAGCTTAGCCTCCACGCAACGCGGATACAATTTTCAAGACATCCCATATTAAAGCGCCGCAGGTCCCGCTGAGCGTCGGCTATCGTGATCCGTCTTGAAGATGGCGCGCTTTATTACACTATCCGTTTCCAGCCAACTGCCTCTAAGTACCCTCGTCTGGACGCTTGCATCACAAAGCGGTCATAAACAAGCGCCGCACCCGAGAGGCGCTTGGTGTCGGTCTCCGGGCACGATCCGCTGCAACCGCTCTGTCACCCAGGGGCGTCAGGACTGGCCGGGACGGCGGCGGCGGCCGAAGCCTTACGTCTGAAGTCACACCGCTCAGGGCCAGCGAGAGAGCCGCAGCACGGGGACCGGGGCTACAGGCTGCAGCGGCGCAGGGGCTCGGTCACCGCGCCGGGAACCTCGGTCACCAACGCAGGGGCTCAGTCACCATTGCAGGGGCTCGGTCACCACTGCAGTGGTGCGGTCACCACTGCAGGGGTGCGGTCACCACCTGCAGGGGTTTGGTCACCACTCCAAGGGCTCGGCCACCATTGCAGGGGCGCGGTCACCACTCCAGGGGCGCGGTCACCACCGCAGGGGCTCGGTCACCACTGCAGGGGCTCGGTTGCCACCGCAGGGGCTCGGTCACCAACGCCTGGGCTCCAAGCCACCGTGTCGGCTTACCAAAGCCACCTTCCCTGACTGTCCAGGCCACCGCACATGCATGTTTCGGTCCCATTACATGCCTTTCCAGGTCATCTTTCATGCCTCCTAGGTCACCCTATCTGCTCACTCGGTCACCTGCCGTGGCTGCCACAGATCACCTCCCCGGTCCTCCCCCCCCCCTCCCGGAATTCCCCATGTTACCCTCTTTGCTTTTCGCAAGGACTTCATCCTGGCCCTCCGTGTCATTTCCCGTGCCTCCCCAGGTCACCGTCCTAGTCCCCACCCACCGAGACCGCTTCCAGTGCTCCCAGCTGGGGATGGCCAGGTGTGACCTAGGTCACGCTCCCACGTCTCCTGTATCCTCAAACCACATTCCCCGCCCTCTCAGGTCACCTTATCTGCCTCCCCTCACCCATTTTGGTTGTATTTTCAGTTATCAGGGTCGTAAGGCCAAGTTTCCCCGGCAAAGTGCACGACCTTCCTCCCCCGCCCCACCCCCCACTCATGCCGTTCAGTCACCCTCTCTGGCGGCGCCTTGATGGCTTGCGACGCGGCGACGGCCAAGGCCGAGTGCTACCACTTAACAAGCGCGACCTCCGCCTCCCGAGGGCGGCGCTGCGAGCGCCCTTGAGCCGGTGCATGACATCAGACTTCGGAACTCGGCCTGTCGAGAAAGGCGTGTAGGAAAGTGATTAATCACGGTATACGATCGATGATTTTGCATGGGAACGATGCCTTGGGTAGGTAATGCGAGATATTAAATGATGATACTCTAATTTCATGGAACTATAGCCTCTAGCTAAGGCACTTAGCTCCGTCAGTTCTGTGTCGATAGAGCAATCAGTCACGCAGCTCTCGACTTTAGAATAGGACTGGGAGCAAGGCTGAAGGGACCTGTCCCACGTATCATAAACCATGACCCGCGCGAACTTCAGTGAGATAGTGTCACAACTTTACGCAGTGTTACGTACACGCACAGCACACGTATGCACGGCGGCGTCACGAATTTCGAGTTGGAGGGGGGCAGGATTTTCCGGGGGCCTGCTGGACAAAATTGGGCCTCCACACAGGGGGCTTCTTGGGTATTGTTGCATTCAAGGGGGGTTACCTTGGCCATGTTCTCTCTTGTCAAATTGTTGCATGCATCAACATCCATGTCAAGAAATGTCGGCAAGTTAGATCCAGAATTAATACTTACTGATTACTGCAAGGATCTTCTTGATTCAGCAGGGGGCCTCCGTATGCAAAGCCAGGAAGTCCTGTGCCAGACAAGGGCCTCCTGATGCATGGGGAGACCCTAACCAGGCGGCCCCTCAGATCCTGATCAGAACAGAACCCTTCCTATTCACAAAGGGGCCTCCAAAGCCAGCAAAGGGTCTCGTTATCCCAGAACAGGGCATTCTGATCCGGAGCTGCAGCTACCTGAAATGCAGGCCCGCAGCCAAGCGGGTGCACTAGGTGCCCGTGCATCCCCTGGGATCTGGAGTGCACCCCTCCCCAGCCTCGTCCCGTGCAACCCCTGTACCTAGGCTATAGGGTTCTCACGACGGTGGAATGAAACTCTTCCGTGTGTTGAGATCTACACCAATCGCGACGTTACAGTTGTACGATGAGCCGAGTTTGTTACCATTATCAAACCCTGTATCATTTATCGCAGTTGTGTCTCGAGGGACTACCGAAGTTTGTGTTTTGACGGAGGCTTCCTTTCCACTTCAGCATGCTTCCAAATTTTCCTGACAAGCGGGCGATATTGAAGCGGTTGAATCTGAAGTGGCAGCAGTCGAACGTTCCGCGGTGTGTACGCGCGCTAGATTACGATCGACATTTTCCTGCGATTTTGAATTTCAGGTGTTCGGGTATTTTGTTTTGAGGCGGTCACGAGAACGAAGCCATCTTCAGCTTCGGATTTTTTCACCATTCAGCTGGTCATTCAGCTGGGTGTCCACTTCGCGTCAAGTCAGAACATCCTAGACGGAGGGATTTCCCCTCATTCTTTCATTCCTTCTGAGTCCATGGGTACCGAAATCCACGAAATCAAAAATGCAAGGGATCAGTCATCGAGTTTAAAATTTCAATTTTTCAAAACTTGTCGCTAAAATTGGACAACAAATATAATTGCCAAAACGATTTCATATGCTTTTACACGCAAATATTTATTGTAGTGATATGCAGGTGTCATCATTGTGTTGAAGAGTTATACCGCTCTCATTTAAAATATATTTTACCCATGCGCCAAAGCAGGTTAATATTTTAGGTGGCATGAAATGTTAACTTCTGCAAATTTTTCGAAACGTCCTCATCCACGTTCACATGAAAAGTAAAGACGCACGTCCTGCGGAGAGGGGGGGGGGGGGGGTGTTGGCGAAATCTTGTCCGTGAAGGCCTGTTGTGTGGAGACAGTTCCAGGGGTAGTGGATGGATCTGGTGGGCCAGATGTTGCTCGTTAAGTCGGCTGTTCTGCAATTGCCTGGCTATTACCTTCTTCAAATTTCTTTCTTTGCCCGGTACAAAGGTCGCTAATCCAATATGTTTTTGACTTAAAATTTATTTCTTTGC